TCATCAAAGTGTATCCAAGGAAATCGATGCTGCCGATTTCCTCATCGCCATTTTCCTGCACATTCCCGAACGGAAACGAGGCCAGACCCCGACAATGAGCAGAGCCTGTTTGTGTTTGTGCAGAGTCACGGGATCGGCTGTCCCGGCGCAGAGCCAAGAAACCGGGCCGTCACCGAAACTACTACCAGGAAACCGAAAAGAAAACCAAAACTTGACCAGCATCCGGCCAGAAACACCACCTGATCCACAGCGGGACGGGGTCCCGGCTTTTCTTAATCTGTTTAACGCGAAGAGGCGAAAAAGCAACGATGGCTGCCACCGAAGCACAAACCGCAGATCACCGCACACACAGCCGAACGAAATACAAAGCGATGGGTGTGATGGAAACAAGAGCAAAATGTTGATTATCATCGCTAAAAAAACATTAAATTAAAAACGTGCTAAATTACAGATTTTTAAAACGGACACTGGCACGATGTTTATGCTAGGTTTAAAAGGTGAAAGAAATATCCCACAAATAATTCTGATTAAACTTCCTGTTTCTAAAACGTAACCGTCAGACCTGAAAACGAGATTAAAAACTTCACTTACTCTAAAAATTCTCGACGCTGAAAGTGAAGAAAAATAACCTGCTGCAGTAACGCTGCGTTAAACTTTATAAAGGCTGCGCGGACACCCAGCTGCTCCGAGGCTGCCCTGTGATTGGTCCGCTCCTGTTTGCTCCCAGGCTCCGCCCACACGGGGTCTGATGTCATCATGGCAGCACGTGATTGTCCCCTCACCAGCCTGCGGGTAGCTGTTGTTGTCGATAGTTTTTTAGATATGCGCGATTTTAAAAAGAATTGATTTAATCAGCGTGTTCTTGTTTGAACGTGTTTTCAGTCGCAGAGCCTCTGATTCATCCCAATGCTGCTCAATACCGCTGATTACAAGACAGAAGTATTCAGGAAAACACTCAAAAGTACACCCAGCAAACTATTGGTAACAACGATTAGTAATAACGATTTATTCTGTGTGTTACTGAAAACACGTCTGCTATGTACTTTTATATTTCTGTGGTGTGTGGGGGACTTTTTAAAAAAAGTTAAACTGGTAAATAAATATACTGTTACTGAAAGTGTGTGGAGAGACTGAAGTGAAACCCCCACAGAGAACCAGGCCTGCAGGTTTTCTGCTGCAATTGTTGTTTAACCAGAGGAGGAAATTAGAGAAAGGCTTCCAGATTCATCTGCAGACATGTCGTTTTCTTTGTGTGAAACTGCGACTGCAAAAATAGGTATGGACAACAAACACCCACAGAAGGCCTCTCAGTGAGTTTAAAAGTTGCACAACAACAGGAGCCTGAGATGGAGGGTAAACACTAACAGCTGAATGTTTGTTACTGGGTCATAAAGGAGATTTGTACGGGGGAAGTGGTGAATCTTTAGTTGTAGTCAGTGTTTGTGTATGTTTTTGTATTTTCCTTCAGTGCACCCCGCCAGCACCAAATTTAAGGTTCACTCCAATAATTTTGCTGAAGTAAAAACAGGTTAAATTAATCCCTTT